TGGTCACTCATGGTCACTCATGTCCACTCTGGCCGCAGACGGGGTCCAGGAGGAGAAGGTCAAGGCCGCGGACATCTCGGACATCGTCCCCAACACTGACCCTCAGACCAAAGTCAGCGTCCAGGGTGAGCGGTCAGGGGGCAGCGGTGGTCAGTGGTGGTCACTCCAGGGGTCAGCAGTGGTCACTCTGGGGGTCAGTGGTGGTCACTCTGGGGGTCACTCCAGGGGTCAGTCCAGGGTGAGCGGTCAGGGGTCAGCAGTGGTCACTCCGGGGGTCACTCCGGGGGTCACTCCAGGGGTCACTCCAGGGGTCAGTTGGGGATATCCCAGTTTGGGGTCAGTTGTGGTCACTCTAGTGGTCACTCCAGGGGTCACTCCACCCCTTGACCACTCCACTGACCACTGTCCAGGCAACCCAGTGTTGGGGACATCCCAGGTTGGGGACACTTGAGGACGTTGTGGTCACTCCAGGGGTCAGTTGGGGCAGTTGTGGTCACTCCACTGGTCACTCCAGTGGCCACTCCACCCCTTGACCACTCCACTGACCCCTGTCCAGGCAACCCGATGTCCGTGATGGTGGGATCAGTTGTGGTCACTCCAGCGGTCATTCCACCCCTTGACCACTCCACTGACCCCTGTCCAGACAATCCAGTGTCCATCATGGTGTGGACAATTGGGGACATCCAGGGGTCACTCGAGGGGTCACTCCAGGGGTCAGTTGGGGACATCCCGGGTTGGGGACATTTGAGGACGTTGTGGTCACTCCAGGGGTCAGTTGTGGTCACTCCAGTGGTCACTCCACCCCTTGACCACTCCCCTGACTGCTGTCCAGGCAACCCAGTGTCCATCATGGTGGGGACATCCTGAGCTGGGGACAGTTGTGGTCACTCCAGGGGTCACTCCAGGGGTCACTCCAGGGGTCAGTTGAGGATATCCCGGGTTGGGGACATTTGGGGTCAGTTATGGTCACTCCAGTGGTCACTCCAGTGGTCACTCCACCCCTTGACCACTCCGCTGACCACTGTCCAGGCAACCCAGTGTCCATCATGGTGGGGACAGTTGGGGATATCCCGGGTTGGGGACATTTGGGGACAGTTTTGGTCACTCCAGAGGTCAGTTTGGTCACTCCAGTGGTCACTCCACCCCTTGACCGCTCCACTGACCACTGTCCAGGCAACCCGATGTCCATCATGGTGGAGACACTTGAGGTCAGTTGAGGATATTCCGGGTTGGGGACAGTTGTGGTCACTCCAGAGGTCACTCCAGTGGTCACTCCACCCCTTGACCACTCCGCCGACCACTGTCCAGGCAACCCGATGTCCATCATGGTGGGGACAGTTGGGGACATCCAGGGGTCACTCCTGGGGTCACTCCAGGGGTCAGTTGAGGATATCCCTGGTTGGGGACAGTTTTGGTCACTCCAGGGGTCACTCCACCCCTTGACCACTCCAATGACCACTGTCCAGGCAACCCGATGTCCGTGCTGGTGGGGACAGTTGTGGTCACTCCAGTGGTCACTCCAGTGGTCACTCCAGGGGTCAGTTGGGGATATCCCAGTTTGGGGACAGTTGTGGTCACTCCAGGGGTCAGTTATGGTCACTCCAGTGGTCACTCCACCCCTTGACCGCTCCACTGACCACTGTCCAGGCAACCCAGTGTCCATCATGGTGGGGATATTTGGGAACTATTGGGGATATCCCTGTTTGGGGACAATTGTGGTCACTCCAGTGGTCACTCCAGCGGTCACTCCACCCCTTGACCACTCCGCTGACCACTGTCCAGGCAACCCGATGTCCGTGCTGGTGGACAAGGCCATCGACGGGGCCAAACTGAAGCACCTGATCGTGACTCCGGCYGGCTGCGGCGAGCAGAACATGATCGGACTGACCCCGACGGTCATCGCCGTCCACTACCTGGACAGCACCGGACAGTGGGAGAGCTTCGGCCTGGACCGCCGGGCCAAGGCGCTGGACATCATCAAAAAAGGTAGGGGACAGCAGAAATTGATAAAAAAATGGGAAATTTGGCAAAAAAATGGGAAATTTGCATCAAAAATGGGGAATTTACCTAAAAATGGGGGAAAATGACCCAAAAATGGGTGAAAATGACCCAAAAATTGGGGGAATTGACCTAAAAATGGGAGGAATTGAGGCAAAAATGGAAAAAATGTAGGAAAAAAATGGGAAAATTGGCCCAAAAAATGGGGGAAATTGTGGCAAAAATGGGAAAATTGTAGGAAAAGTGGAGAATTGACATGAAAATGGGAAAATTGACATGAAAATGGGAAAATTGACACAAAAATGGAAAAATTGACACAAAAATGAGGAGAACTGACCCAAAAATGGAGAATTTGGGTGAAAATGGGGGAAATTGAGGCAAAAATGGGAAAATAGAAGGGAAAATTGGTAAAATTGACCCCGACGGTCATCGCCGTCCACTCCCTGGACAGCACCGGACAGTGGGAGAGCTTCGGCCTGGAGCGCCGGGCCAAAGCGCTGGA